TTGGCTGGCTCCTGTAGCTGTCAGAGCAGCCATCCACCTCGTCTGGCAGCTATAAAAATGACTTTAAAGTACTTGTGCCAACATGAGCAACCCAGGCCACTGGGTGGGTTCCTTCTTTAAAAGCTATGTTTCCTGAGCACAGAACTGATTAAGTCTGGTTTCCTGCAGTGTTTGTTTTGTGACTGGATTTTACTGTCTTAAAAATACAGTTGTGTTCCCACAACGAGGCTTTCCCTCACTGGGATATTCTGGATGTTGTTCCTTTACCTGCGTCACTTGTTTTCCTTCAAGCTGGAAGAACACAGTGCCTTAGGAACAGGAGCCTTCTGTCAGGTTTAGTAAAGATTCAGAGTCATTGTGGGGTGGAGATTAGAAGTGTGTGGTTAGTGGGATTGCCTAAATCCCTTATTTTAGGAACCAGACCCTAAGTGGTCTCTACATGTGATCTCAGAAGCTCTGACTGGCCTGGGCTTGAGACAGGTTAAGTGCAATCTCCCCAGATCTTGCTTGAAAGTATTTGAAGAGCAAAGTCTCAGTAGATGTTTGAATGTCACCACGTGTTGTGCACTAGGGTTTCCGGACGCTGGACGATATCCGCACCAAGGCGACCCTCACCAGCCAGCAAGCTGTGGGGCTGAAGCACTACTCGGATTTCCTGGAGCGCATGCCCCGGGAGGAGGCTGCAGACATAGAGCAGACTGTGAGTAGCCCCTGGCCCTCAGAGTGGAGTATCTGGGACCTGGCAGGAGGGTGCATGCTGTGGGAGTGTCCCTCGCTCTTCTAGCTGAGCTCTTCAGCCTCTCCTCTGAGCAGGATCAGTGCTTGGGGGACCTTTTTTGGGCAAGGGCACACAAGGCACCTACTTCGCCTGGTAGAAAGATTCAGTTTGAGTGGCTGGTGAGGAAGGAGGCACTTCACAGGTGTCATTCCTATACACCACTTTGAAAAAGGCTACATGTGGCATGGTGAGATGAGCAGGTACCCAGCTCCTCTGTCTTATCTCTTGAGGTGTCAGCCCAAGGCCCTGAGCTGTCTCTCAGGTGCTGCTTCTCCAAAGGAAGCTGCAAGCACTCTGTGAAGCTGCCTGTCAGTGGGAGGACAGAGCATTAATATCCTTGCTGGATGCGAATGGGTTGCAGATGGGTGCTGTTTGCTCTGGGAAGCCACAGCGCTCCAGGGTTATAGGGTGCTAAGCCAGTGTACCCTAATGTGAGTGGAGACCGTGGGGGGAACACTGTCATTGCTACCCCTGTGCTCTCTGATCACCATGGAAGCAGCAGCCAGTGTGACCCTGTCACTCGGCCACAGGGCCTGGCCACGAAGAATACACTCCTGCCAGGCTCCTGCTGGGGTGTCAGTCCCGTGTGCCGGATTAGCCATTTCGGTGGCGAGTGGTCCCTTTCCCAGGCAGGCTGGGTCGAGAAGCTGGCTCTTGGGGGTGGGTCTATTGTTATCTTGATGGGATTACTGCGTTCCTCTCCATACACACACACACCTCTGATCCAGGCCCAGGAGAGAGAATGAGGGATTAGTCACTGTCTGTGCTGCCTGTCACAGTGAGATCTGAGGAGCTTTTAGACTCTCAGGTGGGGCTGGGAGTTTTCTAGAAATCTTCATTTAAAGCCAGAATGGGGGCAAGGGCACCAGAGGAGGGCTTGCTCCGCATGAGAAAGGCTTGTGGCTCCTTGGAGCACCTCTGGGGCAAAGGTTAATGGGTTTATCTCTTGCTAATGAAGGATGATCCCCAAGAGTGACAAGGGGCTGTGGGCATGGACACTGCTTTCCTGAACCCCAGCTTCTGTGATGGCCTCATCACTGGGAATTGCTGAGCCCCTAATTATTTGCTGCCAGCAGGGTGATTGGCACAATCAGACCAAGAATCCTTTACTCTTGTCCAAGGACCTGGGAGCCTTTTTAAAGTATTTAATGAATGAAGCCATCAGAATTAGCACTGTCTGCACAAAATAGGAGCTGGAGTCCAGCCTGGAGGTGGCTGCATTAGGAGGAGTTCTGATTATAAATGTCTGATTGCTGGCAGCAACATGTTGGCATCTGTTTGGTCTAAAATGCTGGGGCATTTGTGGTTTTTCCATGTCACAAAGCCTATTTCTCCTGCAAAAGCAGAGATCCTGACAGGAGTGGACTCCAAAGGATACCTGCAGGTTTTCTGCTGCCTTGGGTCCTGCTGGGGAGATTCTCCATGAGCTTATTGCTGCTTCTGAAACAGGACATGAGACTATCTTGTGTTGAACTTATTTTCTTTGTGGAGAGAGCTTTTCCCTCCTGCCCACAGGAAAGCTGAAAAACTTATTTTCCCTGTCTCAGAAACCAGAGGCTCTGCAAGGTTGTGCTGGTCTTTGCCTCCTGAACATCACTGCATCTTTCTGTTTGCCCCAACCCAACTCCAGCCTGTTGCCCCCAGGACCTGATGACTGATGGTAGCACCATGATAGATTATTGTATTGTGTGGCAGGGTTCTGGGCATTTGCAGGACTGGGTGAAGGCCAACCCAGCTTGCTTGGCTCCTGACAGCAGGCATGCTTCCTTGGTGGGGCAATTTGCCATGTCTGCCAAGCGTCTGCTCTGTATGGAGACCTTGAGGTGCAGGACAGGCTGCAAGGCAGGCACAAGATCCTTTGTTGCTTTGATGGAAAGGGCATGAAATTACTGGTCTCTGACTCCTCATCCCTCTTTCTCTTGGAGGTCAGACAAGCTGCCCTGGCCCTGCAGCCTGGGCTTGTGTGTGTGGCATGTGGCTCCTACCGTCGGGGGAAGCCCACCTGTGGAGATGTGGATGTGCTGGTCACTCACCCAGATGGACAGTCTCACCGTGGAGTGTTCAGCAAGCTGCTTGACAGCCTTCGCAGGAGTGGTAAGAGGGCTGGGGACTGGCCCATGGTGCTCCAAGCATGACCAGACTGGGGAGGCAATGAGGTGACTGGCATTCACTGAAGGGCAGGTGACTGCTTTTCCCAAGGACAGGACATTTTGTGAGTCCTTAGATGACTGTCCCTGGTCCTCCTCCTGTGGCAGCCCTGCAGCCAGCATTAAGGAGGAAGTATTGCTGCAGCTCAGTCTGGGTTCTCCTGTCTGCATGAGGCTGTCAGGGCTGAGGCTGGGATGCCCTTGGGGTCCTATAACACATGATGAGACACCTCAGCTGCTGGCTGGACAGCAGGGAGTTTGTCATGGAGGTGTCAGTCTCTACCACTCAGCTCTTCTCTGCCTGTTCTCTGTCTCCAGGCTTCCTTACAGATGACCTGGTGAGTCAGGAGGACAACGGTGACCAGAAGAAGTACCTGGGGGTGTGTCGCCTCCCCGGGCCCGCCCGGCAGCACCGCCGGCTGGACATCATCGTGGTGCCGTACCAGGAGTTCGCCTGTGCCCTGCTCTACTTCACCGGCTCCGCTCACTTCAACCGCTCCATGCGGGCCCTGGCCAAGACCAAGGGCATGAGCCTCTCAGAGCATGCCCTCAGCTCGGCCGTGGTGCGAGGCCCTGGAGGTGTCAAGGTGTCACCTGGCCATACTCTGCCCACTCCCACTGAGAGGGATGTCTTCATTCAGCTGGGGCTGCCTTACCGGGAGCCCTCAGAACGGGACTGGTGACACCCGATTGTCACCCTGGGCCCACGGCCATGCTGCTGTTTTGAAGGGTGCTGGTTTCCTGAGTGCTGTTCTGTGGTGGCTGCAGGCTGGGGAACATATCCCAGCAAACTGGAGCTCCTTGCAAGTGCAGGGTCCTGCTGCTGGCAGAGCTGTGTGACTTCACTGAGCAGAGCCTGTGGGCTGTAACTGTGCTGGAAGCTCTGCCTGATGCCACAGGCCTTGGCTACCAAAAGGACACGGTGCCCATCAGCTACACTGGCCCTGCTCTTCCTGCAGAAGCTTTGGAAGGCTCAGCTGCAGAGCCTTATGATCCAGCCCCTCCTTGTGCTTGGGAACAGGGGATGTGGATGTGTCTTCCTCTGTGTCTGTGCACAGACACCCCAAAATCTTTGGACTGTGTGTGAAGGCAGCGAGGATCTGGCTTGGCCCTGGAACAGGCCTTCCCCCTTCTCACTGCTGCTAGCAGCTGCTACCAGTGGCACTCACAAAGGGTCCCCCTGTGCTGCTGTGTCCTCCCTCCATCTGATCTGATCTGTGTCTTCTGGTGGGTCTCTCTGCACAGGACTGGGCTTCCTCTGGTGCCAGGTAAGCCTTGAAGGAGGTGCAGGGACCCAGCGTGCTGTGCCTGCCAGCTCTGAGCCTGTCTGTGCTGAAGATGCTCCGGTGCAGGGAGCTGCGATCCCCCTGGGTCTGACCCCAAGGACTCCTTTCCTTTTGCAGCAGGAGAGGATTGGACTGCCTCGCTCAGGGAGCTGTGCTCAGGATGGATTTGAATGTAATAGCACTGAATGTGACCTGGCAGGGCTGTGTGATGGATAGAAGGAATGGAGGCGGAGAGAAACATGAGGAGATGGTTTAGTTCTAACTTTGGTGAAGCGAAGCTTTCCCTTTGTACATGTGGAAGCCAGGGATTCATCTGGTCTTAGATCAGAGAGCATGAGTATGTGTGTGTGTACTTGAGTATACATTTACATGTGGCTGGCCCCGTCAATTCCATGGGAGTTAATTTTATTTCTCAGGAAACCTCAACTATTTTTATATTCTGAAGATGAATTTCCCAGAGACCTTCGGTGCTCAGTCTCACTTACGGGTATTGCAGTGGTTGCTCCTGGCAGAGCTGCTGCTCTGTGGCATCAGCTGCCAGGAGGGTGGGTGTTCTGTGCCAGGACTCCAGGGCTCCCTCTGGCCAGTCTGTGGTGTCCAGTCTAGGTGACCCTAGAGGTGTCATTTGTCAGCCCAGCCTTTGTGCTGAACACCTGATGGAAATTAATGTCTTGGTTCTTTGAAATGTGAAGTATAATAAATCCCTTCTCTCTTTTTCCTTGATATATCTTGTCTTTTTGCTCTCTGTCCTGCAGCTCTTGGGACTCTTCCCTCTGGCTGACCAGGAGCCCCTTCTGTGCTGGTCTATCCCTGTTTTCAGTACAGGCAGGGAGAAGGTGGTGGAGACCTTCATGCTGTTAAATCAACACTTTAGCTCAGGGAGGGGAGTTGCTAGACACCATCATCCCATGGCAGAGCAGGACCTGGCTCTGTCCCAGCATCCAGCTGTCCACGTGGCTGAGCTGGGGCTTGCCATGCCTAGAGAAAGGAGCTCTGTGCCTTGGCTGAGCTCTTACTTCAGGTGTGGAGACAGAAAGGGATTGCTGTCAGCTTTTCCATATTTCATCAAAGACTGGGGTTTATGGGAGTTGGCTGCTGCTTTCTGCCTGGAACACAGCTCAGTCTCCTGAACTTGGAAATCCTTTGGTTGTCCAAGTGGAATCTGAACAGCCTGGAAGCCAATGGATCATGTGGAGATGAGCAGCAAGAGCAATTCACTTAAAAGAGAGATGGAGAAGCTGGAGAGGAGCTGCTGGGGCAGAGCTGGCAAGGACTGGGCTGGGTTATCCAAGAGCAAAGGGGAGTCAGGCTCAGACCAGGGCCTGGGAGGTCCAAGGGGGAGCACACACTCCCCAAGAGGGCTGTGCAACCCAGGGACCAGTCCAGAGAGGAGGGCATCCCCATCCCTGGGATCAGACAGATTTGGTCAGGCATGGCCACAGCTGGCCTTGTCCAGGGCTGGGGATAGTCCTGCTCCAGCCCCAAAAGGAGGTTGGACAGGGGCTCCCTGTCTCCCTGGCATTGCTGTTCCTGGAATCCTGGGGCTGCTTCTGTCACCAGGGCCACGTGCTGGGGACATCACTGGAGGTGGGGGAAATGTGGGAATGCAGGCCCCAAACTCCATCCCTTCTATCACCCTCCTCTCCAGGGACACCATTCACACTGTGGTGCCAATCGAGTTGTTGCCGCAGCACATCAAAGCCCTGATCCTGCTGTTTGTGCTGCTTTTACCCAGGAGGAGGCCAGACAGGGAGATGTGGGGCCAGGGCTGCCCAGGAGCAGGACTGTTTGCCCAAACCCTTGGAAAATGGCAGTGAGGGTATGCCCTAGTGCATACTGTCCTGTGGAGGCTGCTGGAGGAAATGTCTTGCCAGTCGTCTGTGAGGGAAGGGGCCCTCTCCTGTCTGTCTGTCCCCTCCCACCCCACGAATCCTTGCCCACGAGTTTTGGAGAGGGCAGAGAGCCCTCATGTGGCCAGCTGCAGTCAGGTGAGCCAAGAATGGATGAGGGACACCTCCGTGGGTGCAGCTCTGGGAGATGCAAAGATGCAGGAGGTGAAGGAGCACCACGTGGAGCTTGTCCAGAGCAGCCGCAGGGAGGACATTTCTGGATTCTGGATGCTGAAGGCTCCTGCTTCTCCCTTGTCCTGGTGTAAGTGCAGAAACATTGAGGGGCTGAGCTGTGCTGCCCACTGTGAGTCAGTCCCTCCTGCCCTGGATGGAGGGCACAGAGCTGTCCAGCACAGCCTCCTCTTTGTGCCCCTAATCCTGCCTTCCACCCTCCCAGTCACCTGCAGACCCCAAGCCAGGGGTTAATTCCAGCATCCCTCTCGCAGCAGAGCAGGACCTGGACACCCCCTTATTGCAGCACAGCTTCTGCCTTATCTGAACCCTGGGATGCCACACTTCCAGAGAAGGTACAAATGATGGGGCTCCTGGAGTGCCTGGGAAGAGGAGTGTGGGAAACAGTTCTTCTTCTTCCTCACATAAATCTAAAACCTTTGGGTGCTCTGCCCAAAAGGATGGATGCAGGATGGATGCAGGCAAGGTGAGTGAAGGTGGTTTTAGGTATCTCTAATCAGTTGTTGCTTGGTTCTTGCTTCCCAGGAAGGGCTTTGGCTATTCCTCCTCCCCATTGCACCCCCTTCCCACCCTCCCTAGCTGTGAGTCTGATCATCCTGAAAATTAAAAATAAACCCAAACACAGCAGCAATTAGAGATTAAGTGAAAAGTCAGGGAACTGGGATGAGGGCTCAGCTCCTGCCACAGAGCCCCTCACTCCCACCACCTCTTCCCTGCACCCCCAAGATGGGTCCAAACTGGGGCCTGAGGCAATTCCCATCCTCCCATCAGACTTCTCTTTGCCCCCCAGGAATAAAAGAAAGAAGAAACCTGAGCCAAGCCCTTGCAGCTCTGAGTATTAAGCAGCTCTTCCCACCCTGCTAGCAACCGTGGGAGGAGAAGACCCTTCCTTAGCCATCATGCTTGTCCTCGTGCAGGGGTCGTGCTGGGGCTGTGGGAAGAGGGGTGCAAAGGGGCTGGTTTGGCATCTAATGCTGGCACTTGGTATTCATGAGTAAATATTTGCTAATGGCAGCACGGCCGGGCGAATGTGAGGGAGCTGCTCCCCCCGCCGGAGCAGGCAGGGAAATGAATATGAATTTATCATGATTAGGTGAACCCAGCAGGGAGAGCGGGAGAGAGAGGGCTAAGGCAGGGAGGGGGCGGGTGAAGATGGATCTGTGCAATAAAATTAAATAAGGACACCAAATAGAGTCACTTCTCACGCGCCCGCCCGCCCTCCCGCGTGCGGGGCCTCTCCCGCCTCCTGCACTCCTCTGGCTTTGCTGATTTCTCTCTTTCCTCAAATTTATGAGGCCAATTATGAAGATGAGGTTGGAAGTTCTCGGAAGTTCACTAAATGCAAAGTGCAGTCCCTGCTGTTCCCATCAAATTAATTAACCAAGCGCTATTGATGGCCGTGGCAATGTCAGCGTGGCAGGGAGCAAGAGAGAAGGGCTGCTGGGGTGCAGGCAGGAGGGTCTGGCAGGGGGGCAGAGCTCCCTGCAGGGCATCCCCAGGGCCAGGGGATGCAGAGTGAGGGGCTTGCCTGGGGGGGCAGCAGGAGTGAGGAATGCAGTAGGCGATGCACCATGTCCTGGCACTGGTGCTCAGCATTGCAGTCTGTGTTTCTAGCACTGGTGGTCTCTGGCTGGAAGGAGATCCACCCAGGTGATGGCCTGGCTGCCCTGATGGGAACATGGCACGGATATGTGATAGGATGCTGTGCCATGTGCCATGGTGGAGGCCATGGCAGGAACTGGAGGTCAGTTTGAGCCTGTGCCTGGTGGAGCAAAGCCTGGAGCCAGTGCCATCTTGGGCACCCCAGGATTGTCCCCCAGTCTGGCATGGGGGATGCTGACCATGATCCCATGGGGGTGGTCTGTACAGGGCCTCACATGACGTAGACAAGTGACTTTCCCTGTAGCTTAGCAGGTTGGTTCAGCCAGGTCAGGCCCACTGCCACCTTCCCCTGCTCCCCACGTCTCAGGGCAGGGTCTGGTTTTCTCTGGGTACAAATAGCATCCCAGCTCCCAGGGAGCCTTTGTAGCATTTAGCAGCCATTATACATGGCCAAATAAAGGCTCGGTCATTGCCCTGGGACCAGCCTTGTTTCACACTGAATGTGTGTGCCACAAGGCTCTCCATCTGTATAGGCCTGGTACAGGAACTTTCACTCTGTAGTGTTGTGGGATCCTGACACAAATCCTTTTGCAATCCCTGACTGGGTCCAAAATGATCAGTTTTTTCAAAGGATGAAAGGTGCAGATTGTGTCCTCAGACCAGGGGTGTCCCAGCAGGG